CCCGCCCCGGCCCCCGTCTTCTCCGCTCTGGGCACCACCCGCGCCCAAGCCGGCGGTCTCGAGAACCAGCGCAAGATTGACCACGACCTCAACATTGAGCTGGCCAGGGCGGCCAAGGAAGCCGGCGTTGCGACATTTGTATTCATTTCCAGCGCCGGCTCTGACGGTTTCCTGTCCAGCTGGGCTCCCTACAGCAAGATGAAGAGGGGGGTGGAGAATGCCGTCAAGGAGCTCGGCTTCGATCACGCCATTATTCTGCGGCCCGGCATGATCCTGGGAGAGCGCGAGACCAGCCGTGCCGCCGAAGGTATTGCGCAGGCGGCCGTGAGGGGCCTGGGCAAGCTCAGCAAGGGCCTCCAGGATGCCCTGGGACAGGATGCCGATGCTATTGCCAGGGCGGCCGTCAAAGCCGCCCAGCTGGCTTGGGAGAACAAGGCGCCTGACAAGTTTTGGATCATCGGGGGACATGAGATTTTGAAACTCGCACACGCTGAGAAGGAGGAGCCCAAGGCTGCGGAATCATCAAAGTAATCGTGGGAGCTGCAATGGGGGGGTAATTAATTTGTTTGACGTAATTGGGATTTGATACTGATGTTGATTGCGGCGCCAGGCTGGCTTCTGGGATAATATTAATCACGGTTACATGGCTGTCTTTACCGGACTATAGTTCCAAATAATCGATATGCTTGCAGCGGTTGCTGCTGTCAATTCTTTAAATTGCTCGCTATGCTGAGCAAAGCAGTGTGCTTAGTACCGCCGTGATGCCTGCCCCATGGCCCTACATGTGATGTAATATGTCGGTCCCAGATGTTCTTCACCAGTGGCAGAAAAAGAGGTCCATGCCGTACTTGTACCAGCATACAGTACTGCATATGCCTGAAATCCCCGACAAATATTCTACCTGTCACGGCAATCACGCCCGTTGCTAAACAAAGCTACGGCATGGGAATGGGGGAAGCAGCAAATAGTGTACAGTGTTTCTTATAGCGAGTATCCATCTTTTTACATTCCGGGAATGACTGACTGAAACCAAAAAAAAAAAGAGGAAGAAGACGTACATACATGGACTTTTCAATAGCTCAACATCTCAAATCCAAGCTTAGCCGATCATTGTGTCCAATGCAGGTGGCTGCGCGGCTGGTGCCCTCGACGTAGTCGCTCTCAGGGGGGCCCAAGTACGTGTGCCGCAAATCCCCAAGATCCAGAACAAGCTTCTCCAGAATCATGTTGGGCTTGCGGAATCGCACCTCGATGGTGTGAGCGCCGACTGTGGCGTGCCCAATGCCATGGGACTTTTTCCAGACGCAATCCATGACGGCCACGTTCCAGCCTCGCGGGAGGCCGCGGTCATTGCCGGGATCATCGTCAGTGAGGCGGTATCGCTTGATTTCTCCGCCGTCCCAGCGGATGTCATACTCCATGCGGCTCTGCGGGTCGGTTTCCAGAGTCATGTTGAATTGCAGCTCGAGGTTGGCGTTGTCGCGATCAGAGAGAACATATATAGGGTAGCGCAGGAACGGAATGTCATCGGGATTGCTCAGGTCGGTGCCGATTGGCAAAGTCACAGATCCTGCAGCGGTGCGGCCCAGTGCTGGAAGAGCCTGATATGGGGATGTAGCCCATTTGCCTGCGTCGATGGCGAGGTGGCCGCTCGTTTCGACGAAGCCGGTGAAATCGGCAGGGACCCGACTATGGCGCACAGTCAAGTGGACTTTTTCGTAGCCATCTAGAGAACCAAAGACTTCGATGATTACCTTTTCATCAAAGTTGGCGGGAACTTGCGTCCAGTCGATAGTGAGAACCACCTTGGTATCGTCATCTTCAGGTTTGAGATGGCCTTGGTACTGAGTGAGCTTGATCCAGTCGTACTGCGGTTTCGCGACCCAGGAGAATGCTTTTGTTCCGCGGTGGAAAACTTCAAAATACCGGTCCTGCGGGCCGTACGGAGTGATAAAGGGGAGAGTCACTCCCGGCTCCAGCCACTTGCGGGATGGATGAGTTCGGTCCGAGTCCTCATTGATATGTCCGGGATTGACGCCTTCAATGCCTTCCACAGCAATGCCCATATGCCCAACGCTGGGGTTGGAATCCTCTCTAGTCTGGACGTAGCACAGACCGTCAATCATATTTCTTGACGGTTGAGCACCAGTATCTCCATATCCGTAGTGCGGCTGCCTCATGATATGGTTCCACTTGCCACCGTTAATGGTATGGTATTCCATCATAAGATCATGGTCTTTGTTGAGGATTTCGAGACTCCGGTGGAATAGCACATTTGTAGTGTTTCGACGCTGCTTGGCAAACAGTTGGTTTCTATACTGGGTTACTCGGAGCAAGGTACACAGATAGGATGCCTTGATAGGGTGGAGAACCAGCTGGAAGAAGGCGGATTTGTACTCCTTGTCCATTTTGGCGTTGATTGTCTTCGCATCATGCAGCAGGGTCTTCCAACGCGCGACAATATTGTCTGCTTCGTGGTACTTGAGCAGAGTAAATGTGCTCACATCGATGTGGTCCTGTTTCCGCAGTGCGACAAGACGGTCAAAGTCGTACCAGGCCCTGGCGATACCCTTTGCGTGTTTGCGCCCAAATTCTCGCGTTGCCAGTTCCTCGTAATATTGGGGAAAAGAGTCGGCACCGATGGAATGGACATCCCAAGCAAGGTCAAACCCAAAGCTCATGGGCACTTCGCAAGGCTTGAGATCGCCAACGTTGAAGACCCAGATGCGATTTGCGCCTTGGGCATGTGCTAGTTGTAGTTGGTGCCATGCTTTCCCCTAAATGTCATGTTAATACAGCATGCATTTTACGTACTAGGCATTGTAAGCTTACTAGCGTATTACTGTTCATCCACCGATAGCATCGAGGATATCCCGTGTATTGAAAGTGGTAGTAGTACTGGTCGAACTAACGTTAGGAGACTTAGACGTGTGTCGTCAGAAGTACTTACTCCGGAGCCGCCGGGGCGCATCTTCTCTTGCTCATTCGGCAATCGGCGCAGAGAGCCAAAATTATCATCAGAGAAAAGGAGTGTGATATCTTCTGGAATCTCCAGCCCATCGTCATAATACTTTTGCACCTCATTGTATAGTGCCATCAATTCTTCCTGGGAAATCAGCGCCAGCTACGACGACATGAAGGGCGTCAACTTACGCATCACCCCGCCCTTACTCCCGTAATTTTCCTCTATAATACCTCTTTGCACATCAAGAACTTCTGCAAGGATCTTCTTAGGGTCACTGCCGTCGATAGGATTGTCACCTTCTGCTCGCATGCCCATAGTGATGTACGACTCAAAAGGTCGTGCTCGCTCTGCGCCAAATCTGAAATATTCTGTGACCTTTTCCTTATTGGTCTCCCAATTCCAAGTGTTCTCTGGCTGTGTGGTGGACCATTCGTTCATGGCGCGTTGCATTGGTTCGTGATGAGAAGTGCCCATTACTACCCCATAAGTGTCGGCAAGAGCCTGGTTTTTAGGATCGTCAACGAAGAATGATCTGCCCGGGTACGGGTATCCCCTCCACATGGCAGGCCACATAAAGTTGGCTTTAAGCCGAAGGAGTAGCTCAAACACGAAGTGGTAGAAGTTGGAATCAAACTTGGGGCCGAATTTCTCGTGGACCCAGGAGTCCATTCCTGGCGCTTCATCATTGATAAAAATGCCACGATATTTGACGCTTGGTTCGCCGTTGCGGGTTGACACAGGGAGGGCATAAACTTCGTCATGAACTTTGGGAGGAACGTCCGCCCACCAGTACCATCTGCTATGATGTAAGAAACATAAGATGCTGAAATCTTCGGCCTCTGAGAACTCACGGAGAGACGCCAATCTGTTCGGACAGAGAGTATATGCCGTAAATAGCACCCCTCTTGTCGCTGCCGGCAATTACCAAGGCGTTGTCATAGCCCTCAGTTGGATTGGAGACACATTGCGTGACCCAGGATTCCCATTTCCCATCGATACCGGAAATGTCAATTTTCCCGTCGGATCCTAGCTTCTTGATTATTGCTGACTTTGACAGCGTTCCCACAATAACGCAAGATTTAGACTCGACGCGGTCAGTTGCTGTGGTCAGAACTACATTGCCGCCTTGGCCAGTGACTCTAGTAAAGTCTTTGGACAGGTTCTTGGCTGCAATGTGAACTCCTTCAAATTCATCATGATCAATAAGAATGTCTGCACCAATGAGACTGAATCCTCGGCCTGACTCAAATGTCACAACAGGCTGTTCAAACATGTTCCCATACGATTCAAACACAAAGCATACCCAAATTCTGAAGCAGACAAAGAGAGAAGAAACGAGACCGAGCTCGAGAGCTCTTGGATTCCACGACTTTATACAAAATGTCTCCAATAAAGTACTGATGACCAAGGCTGTAGTGGTCAACAGATCGACAACGAGATAGGTTCATGCAACCAGTGTTGGGTCACGGGAGTGGCGGATGTCTTGGCAAAAATTGGAAACCTTGAGACAAGAGCTATACAGACGAGGATTGACCAGTGACTTTCAAAAGCTCTATGATGAACGAGGACGTTGGACCTGAGCAAGACGCCTGCGTAACATCCCCACACACTTCCCATTCCCATTGCCATGCTCCCTCCACACCCTTCAACTGCGCTTCAACGGAAATGCGGGGAAATGGGAGTGAACCAAAACGGTGGGGGTGTTGAAACACGGATCCTCCAGTACTGCCTCCTCTCAGCAAGCTAATTGGGGTTGCGCCGCTTGCTAAAAGGTTCACCATGTCTGTTTTCCGTAATGACATTTCGAGTTGTCCCTGGCTCAAGTCGCCTTCTCAGCCATTTCAACATTGCCTCGACGTTGTAGGTCAATCACAAGGTACAGTTACTGGAGTCCCCAAGCCGAACTTTTGCCCCGGCGTGAGACGGAGGCTTTCCCCTGGTTCACGGCAGCGGAAATAGTGACGTAGGACCGCAGTATCGAACAACTGTTGCAGCTGGGTGGGTGCCTATTGAGAAAGAGCAGTTCCGGTCATATTCAACATCCTCGTGATAAGATATCCTTGTCGGTTCCCATGTAGATGACGTTTGAGAAGCCTATTGTATGCATATCGTTGAATGGTCGCTGTACTTTCTATGCATCTGCTAGGCGTGTATCCAAAGCAAACGACTATTCCGTGATAAGACTTCCGTACCTTTTCTGTCAGCCAAACCACTTCGTTACAAGTTCCAGCTGCCACATTGAGCAGACCACCGCCCGTGTGACTTGTTGAAAAATTAGGCATCGGATGCATGACCTGCTGTTGCAACCTCGAGAATTTCGTCCTCAAGTTCAGGCACTGCCGCAACTTTGATGCCGGCAGATTCAAGCATTCCTCGTCCAGGGTTCTGACCGACAAACTTTTCCGGTTCTTGTACGCCGAGGTAAACCTCCCTGATCCACGACTTTTGTCGTAAAACTCTCTCGACACAGGGTAATTTGCCGCTGAGGCGCTTGAAACATGGCTCCATGGTCGTATATAATGCATGAGGAGTGTTGATGATGTCGACTAGACCCTCCTCCTTGGTAGCATGCTGCTCCGCAAGTTTGATAAAACAGCACTCTTCAGCGTGTGTGTTGCCCTCGCATTCTAGAGTGTATCCTTCGGCGACAACTTGCCCATCATCAAGATTGACCAAGAGGGCACCCACCCGGAAATTGCTTGGCTTTGGTGGTGACTTCTCGGCCAATGCCAGGGCACGCCGCATGAGCATCTTGTGATCCTGTTCTGTCCTTGAAGCCATAGTTGATGTGGGACGCGGAGGGGTGCAAAGTAGTTTGTTGATTAGTATAACGCTGCTAGGTACCAGGGAGTCTGACAAGTCATGGGGACCGAAACTAGCATGCCTTGGATCGCTGAGGGTTGCAATCGGTCCAGAATCCAGATTCCGGGACTGTCAAAGACTCCAAGCCTGGTGGTTTTTGGCGCCGGCCATCTGGAGAGCCCCGCCCATTAAACCTCCAGTCCACCCTGAGCCTCAGGCGCGTCCTGACGCGTGACACCTACATCCATCCACGTCAACACAACTTCCCGGCTCCATTCTGTGATTCACACCAGAGGACCGGGGGGGAAATATCGAAAATGTCTGATGTCGAGGATTCCGTGGGTAATGAGCCACCCGTCATTGACCCGTATGAGGTGCTCAGCCTCCCCCGCGAGGCCACAGCAGACCAAATCAAGAGTGCCTACCGAAAGGCAGCGCTCAGGAACCACCCTGGTGAGCTTTGCGTACATGCATCAACCATCCTTGGTATACTAATAGAAGCCTGTAGACAAGGTGACGAGTGAACAAAAAGAGGACGCTCACGCCAAGTTCCAGAAGATTGCCTTTGCCTACGCCGTCCTCTCCGACCCGGCGCGGCGCAAACGATATGACACCACCGGGTCGACGTCAGAATCCATCGTCGATGCAGATGGCTTCAATTGGAGCGATTACTACCGGGAACAATTCAGAGACTCAATATCTGCGGACGCGATTAAGAAATTTGCCGAGAAATACAAGGGCTCTGATGAGGAAAGAGACGATGTTTTGATTGCCTACGAAGAATGTGAAGGGGACATGGACCAAATATACGAACGCGTCATGCTGAGCGATGTCACCGAAGATGACGAGAGATTTCGCAACATTATTGACGAGGCCATCAAGAAGGAAGACGTGCCAGCCTTTGACTCCTACACAAAGGAAAATAAGAAGAAGCGGGCAGCCCGGGTCAAGGCCGCAAAAGCTGAGGCAGAGGAGGCAGAGAATCACGCCAGGGAAATCGGTGTTCACGACATGTTGTTTGCGAAGAAGGGCGCGAAGTCAAAAGACGGCTCGGAAGATGACCTGGCGGCCTTGATTCAGAGACGACAGCAAGATAGATCTGCAAATTTCTTGGAACACCTGACGGAGAAGTATGGAGCTAGTAGTAGCAAAGGAAAGAAGGGCAAAAAGCGAGCGGTGGATGACGTCGAGCCCTCGGAAGAAGCTTTTCAAGCCGCTGCCGCCAAGTTAAAAGGCGGCAAGGCCTCAAAGAAGTCCAAGAAATAGGGTACAATGTATTATTTCGTATCGGTCACCAGGGAGTACGGTTTAGGCTAGGGTTATAGGAAATGGGCAATTGTGTTTTGTGAAATATGGAAATTTAATAGACGGACAGTTCCATCTCCGGACTGGTTGTGATTCGTTCCGGCCGGCGTATTACCATTCAGCGTGGGCACATCAGTGATTAATGTCAAAATGTTTTGGGGCCTTTCGTTTCAGCGGTGACCACAGCTGCGTAAATCTCGCCAGGAACTTACCTACTGGGTACTTCTTAGTAGTTGGTACCAATAGTCTGGTTCTTCCAAAGTGCTCAGTACGTGTACATGTCGACCGGTAAGCAGGTATCGACTAGTGGGGTTCGGCAGCCAACAGTCTGAGCGGAGCCTGTGCTTGGACGGCCAACAGCGCACTTGAGCAACCATGGCAGACCAGTGCTACCAGTTGACCAGTTGACCAGTGCGCGATGCCGTGTCCTGCGTTAACCGCTGGTCGACTCCATTTCCGTCTTCAATCAAGCTCCTGGCATTAATTCCATTCACACACATAACCATTGACCTACTCAGGAGCTCGATTCATGACCCTTCACACAGGGTGAGACTTGCTTCAGCCATGCCATGAGCGAGGAAGCACAGGTCTTGCCTTACCCACGCTATTGCTTTCACCTGTCGCCGACTGCTAATAACTGGTGTTTGCTTCGCGTGTCCGACATTCACGCCCTCAAGCAGCACGCGGGCTTTGAAGGTGAGCGTCGCAAGAACACTGCAGTCTCGGGCGCTAATGCAGGTGACAGGAGAAAACTTTTTTTTCTACAGAAATTTACCCATCAAATGGGTCCGAGTTGTCGGACCAGTTGTGGCAGTCGATGACTTCTATGGCCGCCGCGTCTACACCGTCGATGACAGCAGTGGAAAATGCATTGAGGCGATGATCAATACACAACCACCCGCTCCGGTCAATAATGTAGCAGCATTACAATGCCAACCTGGAACAGCTGCTTGTGATGCAGCAAAACCCAGCGCTCTAAATATCTTGGATCCACCTGGGCCATATGGCAACGTAGACGTTGGCGACGTAGTCGATGTCAAGGGCGCCTTGTCTACATTCAGGGACGAAAAGCAAATAAAGATTGAGAAGCTGGTAATAGTGAAGAGTACAGCACAAGAGGTTAAAATGTGGGAAAGGAGGTCGAAGTTTCGCCACGAAGTCCTTGACAATCCCTGGATCCTGTCCGATAAAGAGATTCGTCGTTGCCGCAAAGAAGCCGAAGCTTCACAGGCAGGTTTAGAACGAAAGAAGAAGCGTCTTGCAGCTATTTCAGAGGCTAGTACGAGTACAAGGCAAACAAAAGCCAAGATTCTAGCTCCAGGTTTGAGTCGCGAGTCCGTCAAACCAAAAGCGAAAGAGAAGACAAAGCTGAATCCTGATACTACAGCAAGAGTAAAGGAGTTGATACGCGAGGGGTCAGCCAAAGGAAAGTACAGCGCTTTGGGTTTATGATATGCTTTTTGTCTATGGTGTTGATTTGGATGGAGCTTTGATAGAGACTGGGGCGATGCATTGATCCGGAGAAGGAAAAAGTCCGGGGGGTTCGGAAGCAGCATCCTGTCTTTACTTGGCCCTCTGGTAAGGTTGACCGACCCGGCAACAGGCCTATTCGAAACATACGAAGAGCGGTCGGACATGCACTGTGGCTGGAGATGGATGTATTTTAGACTGCCTGATGAATCTTAGAATGGACAAATTATCTTGGTACATATAAGAAGTTAGACCAAAATACCGCATCGCAGACAGTTGCGCAGGACTCCAATGATATCATTGAGTCAAGTTGGCCACGAAAGCCACCATACAGGTTTGAGCCGCTCCTTCCACGTTTGACGGTCACAAGTTCGACGGTCGAGAGAAAGAACAGCATTTCTTCTTGCCTGGCCATGATTGGTTCCCCTTGCGTGCATCTAGTGGAAGCCTATGCATGCGTGAACCTCTCTCCATTTCCCCCACTTCATTCTCGTCTTGTCACAACCTTGATCGCATTATGACCACAGACAGATAATTAATTATCACCTAAAGATTCACAGCACCTCACCTGTGCTTGATTAGATTCACCAACCTCTACTTAGTTGGCAATTCGATTCAAACTATCAAGGTATGACAAATTTGGATGTTTCTGCCCTAGACAATCACATTCCTGTCATTTGGCTAGCCAGCTGGTTCTCATGGTGGTGAATCAATACCGCGGCAACGAAACATGGCACCCAGCATATCTCTGGAATGCTGTGCGAAAGGGCCGCGGTATTTCCATTCTATAGACATTTGTCTCCTCAAACAGCTTGTACAGTGTATTCAATTGACCCATGGACTTTGAAACAAACCAATTCTATAACTTGTTCTCGCTTGCAATACACTTAATATGAACTTGCATATGGTATTAGTTCATTGGATTTCCTGGCTAACATGTAGTTCAGGATATCTGAACTCTTTAGGGACCTCAAAAAGTGGAATCCGGCAAATTTCCCTAGGGAAAGACAACAATTTGACTGACCGTTGGCGTAAGAAAGCGGTTGTCTTCGACGCATCCACCACGGTCTCGAAAATCGAAACCATTATTGAACCCCTGCCACCAAATATATCTACGACAACTCCGAATCCGGATCAAGAGTCTGCCTTGGTTAAAGATCATCCCAAAGGATCGAGAATTGTGGGAGACAAGACACCTACGGAATCGAGCACTACCACCTATGCTTTGCCAAGAAGCAGCTACAAGAAACCACCTACTGCAGGCAATATCGTAACATACCTAAACACTTCACGGAAAGAAACAGGAGAACTGCCCTTGAGCAAAGTTTCCTCGACACAAACCACTCTGTTGACACCAACGGCCACGGGCGTATTTAAGAATTTTACCCAAGCAATATCCTCCACCATGGCATCACAAGACATATTTGCTAAGCCCGTAGATACAAAAGCGCCGCCGTCCAGCATATCTGTCCGTCATGATCATCCAGTGCGTCGCAAGGGAATTCAATCGCAGGCGCCTCTACAAACCAACAAGTTTTATTCCAATTTTTTCCTAGGGGACCAAAGATGTCCGAGTTTTACATTCCCATATTCTGTAGCATGGGCCGGCGGCAAGGGTGGAAGCGCTAGTTGGGGAATGTCTTGTTCACATATCGAGGAAAACCAGAGAGTATTTGGCCAAGTGAAGTTCGATGGGGCTTCTTCCTATTATCTGAACCCAGTTGGTATTCAGTCAATGGTTATATCCGCCAAGGAGCTTGGAAATGAAACAACTCTTTCGATGGACAGCATCACGGCATTTTCTGCAAGAGTCCATCTAAGCAAGAACGAGACAGCGAAACCAGCCATATCTTTTCCATTGGTCCAAGGAATGGCATACGTCACGGCACAGTTTGATGGCTCTGTGCCCTTAATCCAATCGGGTGTGTTCTTCAAGGCTGTAAGCCGCGTAACAATCAACCCCAAGGAACATGTCACGAAATACAACTTTCATCTAGAAGATGGAACAACGTGGAGGGTATATGCATGGAGAACGAAAGGCGAGGAGCTGGATCTAAAGGTCATAAATAACAGCATGGCCGAATCAAAATGTCCTTTCCACGGTATACTACAAGTCTGCAAAGATCCCGGCAGCAAGGGCTCTGAAGATCTGTTAGATGATGGAGCAGGAGTCTATCCCGTGACAGTTGCATTATCAGGATCAGTATTTGGGCAAGAGGGCTCGTACTCTTTCAAGTTCCAGAAAAATGGGCACCAATTAGGCCATCTTTATATGTTTGCCTTACCTCATCATATTTCGTCTTTCAACGGTGAAACAATGAAGCGGGTTCAGGAGGTACGTCTTCAATCGACCACGAAAGGTGTTGCCACTTTGGTGAAGGGCACTGAATGGGCAATGGTCGAGCGTCATATGCCCACGGAGATGGACTTTGCCCCCTGGCACCCAGAAAAGGGGTCCATGAAAGAGTTGTCCAGCAAGGCCAAAGGTATAATTCGCGCCGCGGCCGCCAAGGAATTGTCACAAAACATGGCCGCACAAACCAATTTGGACTCCATGTACTTCAGCGGAAAGGTGAGACTACCTATAACTCATTAACAGTATTCAATATCTAAGTGAGGCCGTCCAGGCGCTTGCTAAATTCGCGACAATTTTGTATGTTGTCCACGAACTATTGGGCGACACAGCATTGGCGAAAACAGGGTTAGGTCAATTGAAAGTGGCATTTGGAACCTTTGCAGCCAACAAGCAAAAGTTTCCTCTGGTACACGAAAGCAAGTATCCCATTTTGAGATTAATGGCTATGAGTACTTGCTAACAGCAAGATTTTGTAGCTGCCTGGGGGGGAATAGTCTCGTCAGCAAGTTACGAGACGGGTGACGCCGCAGTTGACTTCGGAAATACCTACTACAATGACCATCACTTCCACTATGGTTATCATATCCTTGCCGCAGCTACTATTGGCCATCTTGACCCAGAATGGACCAATGCGAACCGGGACTATGTGAATCTGCTGGTCCGCGACGTTGCAAACCCCAGTGAAGATGACAAGTTCTTTCCTTTATGGCGTACCTTTGACTGGTATCATGGCCACAGTTGGGCTCATGGTCTTTATGCCGCCATGGATGGCAAGGTGTGCTGCCCACATCCACTCACTTGTTCCGCAATGTATCTTACATCAATCTAGGACCAGGAGTCTAGCTCTGAGGACGTAATGTGTGCCTACGCGCTCAAAATGTGGGGGAGAGTCAGTAAGAACTTTGATCTCGAAATGAGGTAAAGCTGACATCGCGAGGTATCGCAAAATATCAGCAAAGTGAATGCTAACTAGGGCATTTAGGGGAAACTTACAGCTGTCCATTATTGCACGGAGCCTGCAAAGCTACTACTTGTACAAGAAAGACAATACAGTACAACCAGAGCAATTTATCGGCAACAAAGTGGCGGGGATCCTTTTCGAAAACAAAATTGATCACACAACATACTTTGATCCCAATATTGAGGCTATCCAAGGTATACACATGATTCCAATCTTGCCAGCAACGCCGTTCGTACGCGACCAAGGGTTCGTCAGGGAGGAATGGGAGACATACTTTGACAAAGGAAGAGTGGACAGCATTCGGAACGCCTGGAAAGGAATTATTTACGGTAATTATGCCACCATTGAACCGAGAAAGGCATGGGAGTTTTTCACCTCGCGAGACTTTGACCCTCAATGGCTTGACGGAGGCGCATCCATGACTTGGTTCATGGCATATGCGGCAGGTTTGTCATGATGGCACAAGCTTCAGAGTTAAGCGCTTGCTGACTAAGAAATAGCACTAGGTTGCCTCTGAGGTGTCAACGAATTGCTTAATTGGGATATACATATTGGTATAGATAGTGAATCGCGTCAGGCAAGAGCTCATTTTTCTTAATGAGCATGATTATGAGTAGAAAGTTTGTTTAGATGGGCTCACCGTTGGATTTGCAAAATTAGATGGCATGAGTAGACAAAGGACTGCGAGGTTATTTTCTGGACTGGTGCAAAATTGTACGGGTTACACCATTCCAACTAGTGTGATTCAAGGGCCTGATGCCATTTATCTGTAGAACAGAAATGTAATAGCACGAAGCCATTGCAGGCCGCGGCTGTAGGGTGATGAGGTTCACATTGGGTCATTTTATGAAAGGTGCAACCGTTTGAATTCTCACGCTGGTTGAGGGTTGGTGTACGACGTGATAGATCAATTGATGGTGTAGCAAGTCAGAGCTGGCTGTGCGTATTCTAAAAAGGGCAACTACAGCCAAGTCGGAACAGGAGCTTAAGCGGGGGTGGGTGAGGGGGTGACACAGCCTCCTTTGACACGAGTTAATCAAGAATCAAAGCGATGCTGCCAAATCTGGCTGATGGAGCTGGGAGCTGGAAGCTGGGAGCCCGTGAGCCGTGAGCCGTGAGCCACACGGTTGGGGGATTTAGGCCCCTGCTCCCTCAAGGGAGCTTATTTTCTACTTTATTTGGAGTTTGGCTGGCACGAACTAACGGCTAAGGTACCTTGGCACGGAGTAATATGTATGAAAGTACCGAGTACGGGGTACCGAGGTACATGGGCCGCCTTGGTCGGTTTGGGCCCTTGGCTCTGAGCCTCTTAAGCCATGAAATGTCCAATGGGTGCCGTGCTATCGGAGAAGATAAGAATAAAAATAAAAAATCAATGGCCGGCCCTGAAGAGAGCAGCATGATCATGAATGAACAAACGCCTCGACGAGCATTGCGAAGAATGAGGCACAAAGTGGCTGCGCCCAAGGCATAGCCACGGCTGCTCAAGTGGTTGTACTACCCTGGGCTGCAACACAATGTCTCCAATGGCCGGGCCGGCTTGAAACTTGGAAGATGACGTCTGGTGCTTTAGTACGAACTCGGCAGTTGAATAACGTAGTTGTGAGATCGGGACAAGATTTGGTTGCTGCAGGCTGATGTCAGTGACGCGAATGAGGTGAGGTGAGGCTCTATTTAGGCCTTGAGGGGCGCGAGGCAGTCCGCGAAGCGGCAAAGATGATTGACAAACAGTACTGGGACCCTTGTCCAGGTTACGGAGTTGTCGTCCAATTGATTCATCAATTGACCCCCAAACTTGGAACGAGCGGGACAGCCGGAAGCTGGCAAACACGTCAACCACAAACTGGTCGTGCAACATTGGCCTCGAGGGCGGCGACGACGCAAACAAAAATCAGGACTGCTGCGGCCAACGTTCTGGAGCGGCGGACAAGGCAGAAGCACGGTCAAATTATGTGTGGGATTTACCACCTTTGAGGACGTAAAGTTCATACTTGGTTGAAATGTGTGACGTCGCAAGGAGGCCTCCAAGACCAGCCAGGGGCCACAACCAGGACCGTGACAAGGACCAGGGACCCGGGACCACTTTCTTGCATGCAGCTGCAAGGCCAAGACACGATCGCGTGAGATGGTCAAGCTGCTTGTTGCGAGGGCGATGGACCGACAGTGGACCGACAGTGGACGAGGCGGCGGCGGCTTGCAACCTCGACCAAACAGGAGCCGCTGCGGCAGCCACGCTATGCCTTAAACGTGAAGCTTGAGTCGCTACACAAGGAATTTGGGAGCTCAAGTGCTGCCAGCATTGAATACCAGACTGCGATGCTCGCGCTACCAGTTAGCTCGCCGCCAGCTCCACGAAACAGCGTCAAGCAATTGATTTGAAGACTGGGTCTCTTATGAGCCGCATCTTCCTCCTTCTCCTCCTCCACCACCACCACCACCACCACCACCGACACCATCCAAACATCCATCTCGACGTCCATCGTCACGTCAACCACGCCGCTTTGGTCTTCATTTCCGCCCTCCCACACCCAACGTCTGAGCACGGGCAACACTACACTATCCATTGTGCCCACACCACTCTCTGTTGTGAGGCTTGTTTGGAGCTCTGAGTTCAAACCTCAAAAAACCTCATCACGAACAAAGGCCCTCCTGCTGCCTCTCTACATTGGTCAATTCGAGACAACTGAAGCAATGGTCTTTGGCGGGTTATGTAAGTTCAGTCTCAGTTTGCTTGTCACGTCTCTCGTCATCGTCATGGCCACCGTCATCGTCGCCAGTACATTTATTTCACCTCTTCCGCGGCAGCGTGTTCAAATACTGTCCACCGGCTCTCCAAGTACCGGCCTGGTCATGCGCGATACTCGTGATACTCACCATCGTGATCGAGCCTCCCAGTCTCGTTGCTGTCCGGCGCGATGGCATTGGCCTCCGACGTGTTTGTTGGACCGGTTCTCAAGTAGTCCGGTCCATCTCCATGCCTGAAACCATGGCCACAATTGTTCTTTCTTAATGCCCTCGTTTCAAACCACGCCCGTCCCCCATCCACACGCTCTCTCTTCACCCGCCTCTCACTGGACGCCACAAAGATAAACTACTGGCGCCAGATACCCGGATGTTCGTCAGAAGAATCCATGTCCAGAATGCCTGGTATTACTCAGGTAGTTATCACGCCTCCTACCTTTTGCCTTCGTCACTCCCCATCGCGAGTACATCTATTCCTCTCAACCTCCTTGCCTGCTCCCTGTCAATGCTCCAACGTCTCGCTCCATATTTTTGTATCCTCCCGCACCCCGGCAGCTTTTGGTGGGTGGCCCTATGTCAGGTTCACGTTCTCGCCCTTTTCTTCGTCCTCACACCTAGTGTATTTCTCGACAGTTGTTCGCTGTCGCCCAAGACACCAAGGCTCGTCTCTGATCTCTCACGAGCTTTCTCAATCCCTGTTCCCCCCGCGAGCGTTGCTTTAACCAGATATTATTGGCAAGAGCTCCTGGTCCTCTCCCGGTCAAGGACCGTCTCGATCAGCCTCGAAAGCCGTGCAGAAATCGAGAATCTGTGGCAGTAGTTTGTCTACTGTTTCAAATCGACAGTCAATTGATGCTAATTCGCATTTTCTTATACCGCAGTCAACCAGTCGTCCAAAAAGCTCTATCGCCAAATGTCTCACAGGTCTTATCGCAATGCCGACGAGCACACGCCGCTCATTAATGGCGAGTCTGCTTCGTCGGCTCAAGCTGGCAATCATACTCAGCACCAGCCCAAAACCGGCCTCCGGACCTTTCTTTTGGATACACAGTATACTCCTGGAAACGACAGCGAATCAATCGCGGTGCGCGGCGCGGCGTATACCTGGCATGTCACCAAAGTCACTCTCTTAAGCGGTGCGTCTCTCCCCAGTACGGCCTTGAATTAACTTTATATATTTGTATATTGAAGTTGATTGCCTCTAATCGCCCTGTCTTTCCGCTGTATTCGGCGACTAACCTGCATATGATGCATAGGCTATGTCAACTTTCTCCTGGTAATGGTCCCTATCGGCATCGTGGCTGGCGCGCTCAACTGGAACCCAACCGCCGTCTTCACCATCAACTTCTTTGCCATCATTCCACTTGCGGCGGTTCTCTCCTTTGCCACCGAAATGCTTGCGAGTAAATTGGGCCAGGCCATGGGCGGCTTGCTGAACGCAACATTTGGAAACGCTGTGGAATTGATTGTATGTGCTATCTGTGTGGTTCTCGGCTTGCATCCGAGGAAGCAAATACATCAGAGCTGACTATTCTCATCATATTACAGGTCAGCATTGTCGCCCTAAAAGATGGTCAGATTGTGGTCGTGCAGTCGTCAATGCTTGGTTCTATCTTGTCGAACTTGCTTCTTGTTATGGGAATGTGCTTCCTTTTTGGTGGATTAGTACACCGAGGTACCAATGGAGACGGCAGGGAGCAGTCTTTCTCCGCCGCCGTCGCCCAGACGACATGCTCCCTCATGACGCTGTCCTCTGCCTCTCTTGTCATTCCCGCAGCCGTATGTTGGACATTGCGCCAGTCATGGCACCAGTTCAAGGCCCTCTGTTACTGACTGTCTTTTAGCTCTATGCTGTCCTCTCTCAGAACGGATCACAGGACAAAAACAGTAGCATTCTGATTCTCTCACGAGGCACTGCCATTGTTCTGTTGCTTCTTTATGTCATGTACCTCGTTTTCCAACTCCGAACCCACAGCAACCTTTTCGATGAAGAAACTCAACAAGAAGGCGACGCTGAAGAAGAAGCCAGCATAGGACCTGTTGCTGCCGCCATAGTTCTGGTTGTTGTTACAGTCCTGGTAGCCATTTGCGCCGAGTACCTCGTTGGAAGCATCGATGATATAGTCGAGAGTGCGAATATCAGCAAGGCGTTCATTGGTCTGATTCTGATTCCTATTGTTGGCAACGCTGCTGAGCACGTCACTGCTGTGGTTGTGGCCCTCCGCGACAAGATGGACCTCGCTATGGCTGTTGCCATTGGCTCCAGCATCCAGATTGCTCTCGGTGTTACTCCTTTCCTTGTCATTGTTGGCTGGATTATCGGGCAGCCAATGTCGTTGCACTTTGAGACTTGTAAGCTTTTTCCTTGGCAGCTCCCCCATCATTCTTTCAAAATACGAATAATTTTGATGACATGTGTAGTTCAAACCGTCGCATTTGCCGTATCGGTTCTAGTCGTCACGTATACCGTCCAAGATGGCAAATCTAATTATCTCGAAGGAGCTATGCTTTTGGGTTTATACCTTATTATCGCTGTCGCCTTTTACGCCACACCCAGCGACGCCTTTGACGGCAGCTTTGCTCAATTGCTGGGTAACTCCTCATGATGTTCACAATTCAAAATGCGTCCAGCAAATTTGAATTTTTTGGCGGAAAAAACGAAGTCTTTGGATACGTTATAATCCTGCCAAGACTATGTATTTTTACTGACGAAATCAGTGTTGGGATAGGGGGGGAAAAACCAGGAACGTGCAGAAACTATCAACTTTTGGCTTGGTCCCATGGCTCTACGCCGCCATGTCTAGCTCGCTAGATGGGGTTTTCTTTGTGTTTTGTGCAGTTGTATAACAACTGACCTTTTTTCCTTGTATTATGGCGTTGAGGCATCAAATATATTTTCTTGTCCAGTCACATATCGACCATGAATGCTCCCTCTATCGTTACATGTCTATACGTGTTGCCATGAAAATCCAACCCATGAATATTGCTATAGCCACAACAGCCTAGGCAGTTGGCTTCGACATTGGCGCAATAATGCCCTGCTTCATAAGAACCCTTGGCTTCGTACTATCCTGGAAGGTTTCCTTGGTCATCCATTCCGGTCCGACAGGCAATCTAAGCGACCTCTCATATTGGGCCCTTGACTCAAAGGGATGAGGGAGCTGGGACGCGAGATAGCGATCATTCTACGTTTTGTTGCTTTGTTAGTCGGTTCCCAGACAAGATGCAGTATGAAAATGACACGATAAAGGCTCGACAGAGAATTGGGGCAAGGGCCAACTACTGTACCTTTTTGATCCTCTTCTCATTGATAATCACCCTGTCCAGCTTGGCGTCCTTCCTGTCCTTCCTCTTGATACCCTCTACTTTTGTCAAGAAGCGCCCCTGGTGCCTCTTTTTCTCGCGATTGCTGACGCCGTCGCCGACCCAGGACCCCCAGCCCGGAAGGGTATTGTCGATGACCTTGTCGTCGTCTGCTTCGGCGATTTCGTCCTTTTCGCGAGCGAACTCGGCGACGACGTCGTCTCCTGCAAAGGCGCGCGCCACGAGGGCCTGGTCCCGGACGGCCAGGGGCATGTGCTGCTCTGTTTCAGAGTCATCTTCGTCACTGTCGTTGTTGCGGCTGTCGCCGTTGCCGTTGCTGTTTGTGGGTTTGGATTTTGGTTGTGAGGCGACGAGGACGTTGGCGCTCAGGTCGAGGTCTTCGCCACGCAAGGGGGCGGATTTCTTGCGCCGCGTTTCGCCGCGTGACCAGGCGCCTGTTGTGGAGGATGAAGGTTCTAGTGGCTGCGTGGTCGTGGTGGTATTGTTGATGATGATATCGACGTCTGTGTCTTTGGGTTCTGGCACTCGGCTGCGTTTGGGCGCACGGGTTGATGTGTCGAGGGCGGGTTTGGAGGATGAGTCTGCTGCGCCGTAGCTTCTGCGGCCGACTTCGTCATCGGCTTGCATGTCGTCGGAGTCGTCTGCGGTGTCGCCATCGAGGTCGCGGCGGATTTGACGAATCATGTCGTCGTTTGCTCGTTTCCTGGCCGCTTCGGCCTTCTGCATGAACTTCATGCTCATCAGTTTTGACTGAGGCTCGTCGTTGTCCTCTTCCAGCTCCCTTAGCTGGCGTCGAATGTCGTCATCGTCGTCATCACTGCCAGAACTACTGGTTGCATCGGAGTCAGAGTCGCCGTCGACGCCCGCCTTGCCTTCTTTTCGTCGACGGAGCTCTTCGTCCTTTCTCGCCATTTCTGTCAAGCCGGTGCGGAAGTCGTCGTCCCAGACGGCACGCTTCGTCTTGGACCCAATCTTGGCCCATTTGCTCTCCTTGTGTCGCTGGCCAACACGTTCCAACGCGCGTCGACGGTCCTGTGCTTCTCTCTCCTCCTCGGAGTCAATCTCTCCGGCTTCCTCCATAGCTTCCTTGGCAGCCATTTCGTCGCGTTCCCGTTGTTTCCGGTGAACTCTGTGATATGCTTTGCTCTTGATCTTTTTGATGCGCTTGGCTCGCTTGGCTTCTCTGGAATTGAGTTCTCGCTCCATTCGTTTTCGAGCCAGGACTTCTTTCCGTGAGAGCAGGTTACCCTCCTCGTCGTACTCTTGAGGTTTGGGCTTGGGCTCCTTGTTCATAGAAAGGCCGCTCTGTTCCATGATAGACATGATGGCGGATTCAAGCTCATTGCTAGGCTTGGCTGAGCTGAGAGGCTGAATCTCCGAAGTGTCTAGGCCGGCAGTGGCTGAATTTTGAGGAAGCGGGAACACGAGGTGCTCTGCTCTGCGGTTCTGCTTGACAGTTTCCGTCCATCTATCTAGGGTCTCATTGGTCTTTTCGTATGCAACGCTTCGGTCCAGCCGACCTTGCTCACGTCGGGACAGTGGCACAGCCAATTTTTGAACGACACCGGGTCGCTTTTCTTTGGCTTCCTTGTTCATCAACTTGAGGGACTTCTTCATGAATGGATCATTCAGTCCTGTGAGACCCAAGTCTTTGAGGGAAAGCTTCTGTCCGGTGCCCGACTTCGATTTGTCGTCATCATCCTTTTCGCCACCGTACCGTGAAATGAGTCCCTTCAACGCATTCAACTTTTCGAGGTCAGCTTCAGCACCATCGTCGTCTTCGCTTTCGTCATCACTAGATCCATCCTCCTCCTCCTCCGACTCGTCTTCGTCCTCTTCTGAATCTCCAGAGCCAGATTCGCCATCCGCCTCGAGCTCGTCATCTGATTCCTCTTCCCACTGATCCAGAGCGGTCGCCAAATCAATAGCCTCTGCGCCAAGAGTTTCTCCTTCGTCATCATTCGAGTCGTCCTCCGACTCATCATCCTTCCGGAAGATCATTAGCAAACCCTCGCATGTCGTACAACTTTCCAGTAACCTACAGGCTTCGACTTGCTCCCTCGGAATGAATACTCCTCAAATTTCTCATTATCACTGTCTCCAAATGCATCATCGCTCTCTATTTCAGAATCTTCATCGTCGTCCCTCAAACCGCCCAGGCGCCATTCATTGCCTTCACTGTCACTGCCATCCTCGCCATCGTCATCTGCCCGTGATGGACGCTTGGCCTTCTTTCTTCGGGGCTGCTCTTCCTCGTCTTCATCTTCGTCGTCGTCTTCGCCAGCCTCGTCTCGCCCATGTTTTCTCTCAATTTCGGCATCGAGTTCCCTTGCTCGCGGCGTTCTCTTGTGTTTCGTGGGGTACATATCCTGCGCAATTCCAAAGGCATTGAGAGCATTCATCTGCGACCTCGCCTTGGAGCCCTTTTTCCCGCCCGGTTTGGCCTTGGGCGCGGCCATCAATGACCGGCCATGCGATTGTCGTCCCGGCATTTTGTTGGGAACGAATGGCCGTTCTGTTCTTGTCCTTATAATCGTGGCGATTTTGGTGGCCGAAGGAAGGCTCTTTCACCACTTTTCTGCCGGCCTTAAAAAAAAATTGGCGGTGAGCAGCCAATGTTTGGCGGGGACCCTCCGGGACGCGGTCCCACCTATCAGCTCACTCTTATTTCCGCCTGTGGTCAGACATCTGGAACTACGAACTCTTCCTCCTGGTACCCGTCGACCATACACACCTCTGTCTTCTTGTCGCTGGTTGCCATCAGTGTCACGACAGGATGACTCTCGTTGTTCCTGGAATAAGGAGGGTAGCCCTACAGGCTCCCTCCAGGTTCTTCGTCTGCAACCAATGCCTCCGACAAACCGCAGCGTTACGGCCACGGTTCGCATCGCGCATTCTGAATGCCGTACGACCCCGAGGCTTTGCGGACGCGAAACCCGCGACGCCGCTGGGAGCAATGGCCGACCATGTTGCTTCCCGATCCGCATCTGTGCACGCCCAGCAACTTGCCAAGACGGCTTTCCCTAAAACCAACCCCAAGAGTGTGGCATATTGGTTGATTGGTAGCGCCGTCAGTGTGTTTGGTATCGTCGTCTGGGGAGGTCTGACGAGATTGACTGAATCTGGGTATGCGATATTACCCCATTGCCCTCTCATTAAATTTTCCCAAGCATGATCCATCTGACACCCCATCAAATTGTAGACTTAGCATCACCGAATGGCGTCCCGTCACCGGTTCACTACCTCCCATGTCTCAAGAAGACTGGGACTCTGAATTCGAGAAATACCGAGCTTCTCCGGAATTCAAGCTTCTCAACCCACACATGACCCTTGATGAATTCAAAAAGATCTACTTCATGGAATGGGCACACCGTGTCTGGGGCCGCTTCATTGGATTATCCTTCGTCCTACCCACCGTGTACCTCATCGCCCGCCGGAGAGTCACCACCAAGATGGCCTTCAACCTCGTAGGCATATCCGCACTCATTGGCTTCCAGGGCTTCATCGGCTGGTGGATGGTCAAGTCTGGTCTGAAAGACGACTTATTCGCCCCCGGTTCGCACCCTCGCGTCTCGCAATACCGCCTCACTGCACATCTGGCCACCGCATTCGTCTGCTACTCGTGGATGCTCCTCTCCGGCCTGGCCATCCTCCGCACACACCGACTCCTTGCCGACCCCAAAGCCGCCATGTCGGCGCTCCAGGCCCTCCAGAACCCTGCGCTGAATACCTTCCGCCGCTCTGTTTTTGCTCTTGCAACCCTCACCTTCATCACCATCATGTCTGGAGCCCTAGTTGCAGGCCTCGACGCGGGCCTCATCTACAATGAATTCCCCAAGATGGGTCTGGGCCTGACGCCACCGAAAGCCGAGCTCTGGGACAAATTTTACTGCCGCAAAGAAGATGGCTCTGACCTCTGGTGGCGCAACATGCTCGAGAACCCTAGCACCGTGCAAATGGATCATCGTATTCTCGCCGTTTCGACGTTCTGTGCCATCTTGGCCCTCTTTGCCTACTCCCGGACGGGTCGTGTTGCTGCCGCTCTGCCCAAGGATGCAAAGAAGGGGGCTATTGGCTTAGTTCATCTTGTCTCCATGCAGGTTGCCCTCGGTATATCCACGCTGATCTATATGGTGCCGATTCCCCTGGCTGCAGCTCACCAGGCTGGTAGCCTCGCAGTTTTGACAGGCGCCCTGGTCTTGGCACATCGGCTAAGAGCACCCAGGCCAACACTGCGTATGATTGAGCAGCGACTAAAGCAGCTCAAGCAATAATCAAGCAGGCGGGACATGAAAATGTATTAATATTGTATAAGTAAAAGAATAAGGCAACATCGTTGTACAATAAAGGGGGGACAAAAAAGACGGGTGGATGCACATAGATCATGGATTGGCTACGTCTTCTCTCGGCTCAATTTTCTTTAGATTCAATTTCTCCCACAAAATAAAATGTACTTGCATTAAAGTCTTGGTTCTCATTAACATGCGTACCCACCCGCCCAGTATGCAGACGAACCCCATCCTGAAAGAAAAATGAAAATAGAAACGAAGGCTTGGAAAATTCCAACTGTAAACTTTTGTTGTTCGTATTAACACATCATAAGAAGCCGCCAAAATAAAATGGTTCCTTATTCATTACAATGTCCGCGGATCGTATAAAATGGGTAAATTCATCAAACTTTTCTCTGGGTCTTTCCTTCCAGCACCGTTTGGATTTTATTCTTCAACCACGGCTCCATGGGCAGAATGTTCGCTCTTGGCTGTCCCTTTGGTGTCTTGCTGTTATGGAGGCTAGCTTGGCAGGTCATTGCTCCATGTACATATCTCCACGTACTTGCTGCATCATGGGCATGTCGCCATCATGCACATGATTTCCCTGCATTGCCATGTTCATATTTGGCATTGACCTGGTCATTGTCATAGCTGACCGGCCAACAGGACTGCCCGCTCCATTTTGCATCATGAACCGCATGTCTGGCGGAGCTCCTTGATGGTGGACCAGGCCTCGGGTACGTGGGACTTCAAGCGTCGCGGTTTGTTGCATTGGTGCGTGGGCATTCTTTGCTGGAGAGGAATTCATAATGGCAAAGCTATCGTCGTCTTCCATCTCGGCATCCGCATCCTGATCACTGACATCTTCATTTTCATCTCCTTCCTCCTCCTCCGCGATCGACGGTGGACCGGTCGTGCTGGTGGATGGGGCCGTATGTTCGCTGACAGGTCCAGACGTACTGACAGTGGACAATCTCTTTTCGCCAGTGTTATTAGTTTGAGCTGGAGGTTGATTATGTTGCTGCTGCTGCTGCTGCTGCTGCTGTTGTTGTTGTTGTTGTTGTTGTTGTTGTTGTTGTTGTTGTTGTTGTTGTTGTTGTTGTTGTTGTTGTTGTTGTTGTTGCTGCTGCTGCGTCGTCTGAGACAGACCTTGTGATTTTGACCTCGATGGACCATTCAAATTGACCGGTGTTTGAGCTGATTGATCCAGTGGCCGTTGTGCACTCATTCCACTCGAGGTTGCACGAGTCGACATGATTACATTCTTCCACCTTTCAATAGACTTGGCGACAACTGTTGCGACATCCATGTGGCGGTCCTCCATGTCGAAACCGACGCACTTGCCCCCTCTCACGCCTTGCTCATATGCATAACTAATCACATCGCGATCTATCGGGATGGTCGACGGTGACAGGAGCCTGAACTCGCGGGGCTGTTGCAGGCGATTCAGCTGATCAATCTGCATCTTTAAGTGTGCATTCTCTTGTTTCAATCGATGCTGCTGCTCTTTCATGATTTCCATTTCCTTGTGCTTCCTGCCAACCCCTCGCGCAAGTTCTAGGATCCAAAGCTCTTGTTGCCGCTGCCCTGGCAGCGAATTCCATACAGAGTATGCGGATTGCAGGTGTTCTCCCACCTGCTTCTCTAAATTTTCCGCTGCTTTCTCGGCCTTTTTGACAGCGTCACGGGTGTCCTCCTGCAAATGTCCTGTCGGGGGGTAGGCGAGTTCCTCAGACGCCGCGGTCGTGGCAGCTGCACACGTCACTTTCCAAGCTCTAAACTCCTCATTAAAGTATGACCTCAAGGCTTTAAACTCTCGCAGTCCCGGGGATTGCACGGACCAAGATGTGGACGTAGGATGCTGTGTGGAAGAAAAAAGGGTTGGCGGCGGGTGCAGGCACTGTAATGTAAGAGCTGGAAAGTCGAGAGAGAGGGGATCAAAGCCGAATGGCATAGAGCTATTATCAATATGTTGCCTGTGGCCTGTTAGAACGCAATTCTGGAAAGTTGTCTCATTATACGGAAACAAGACAGACACATACTTGGCTGCCCTCCACGAGCCCAGAAGCTCTCGCAAGGCAAGTTCTGCAGCTCGGGCGGTGTCCATAGCATCTGACAGCTTCTGCTTCACATCGAATTGGGCCTTTTGGGCTGCTTGCTTGCTTACTGTCCGTTGCATCGGCGGGCGTTTCGCTGGATCTGGCCCGGCATCCCCATCCAAAGAGCCCCTAGGGGGAATATCATTGATGACGCCAGTAGCTTCCCACCTCGGGACAAAGGGGAATTTGCCAAGAGTCGAGTCAACTGCATAAATGCCGTCTTTCGGTATAGGTGCAGCACCTATTGACTCAGTCTCTTGGTTGGAAGTTTCCCATTTCGGGGCAGGTCTTGGTGTCCCAGCGGGAGTCGAATCCTTGCGCGCACCAAGAGAGCCGCGGGCTTGCCGCCTCGTAATGCCTCCTCGCAACTTCCGTATAGCTTCCACATCGTGAAGGCCATCCGGTGGTTTGGGATTCTTCTCTTTGATATAGAGGTCGAGATGCCGGCCGAGCGAAGAGGAGGTAAAAGCTTGTTTGCAATAAATGCAATTCTTGTCCTTGGGGGCACTGAGCTTGGCAGGGGTCGTTTCGGAATTTTGGGACGCCATATCAGCTCCCATGCTGCCAACAGCAAGCCAGCTCGGTGGTGTGGAATTCGAGGAGCAGGGGCTGAGAGGTCTGAAGGCAACGAACGTAGGACTGGTAATCGGGAAAATATTATATCACCGAGATGTGAAATTACAAAAATCTCGTCGAAGCGAAACTGAAGAGCCGGTCTCCTGCCATGGGGAGGTTTCCGCCGAAAAGCATAAGGAGCGTCTGCATAGAGATTAGAGGATTGGGGGGGGGGGGGTGGGAACGAAAAAG